TCAAGCAGTTCTCCCACATCAGCCTTCCAAAGTGCTGAGATTATAGGTGTGAGTCAGGGAGCTAGCTCTACCTCAAATTTTTAAAGGCTGACCAAAATGCCAGGGATATCAGGAAAGAAAGCCTATCTAGGATAATAGCTATAACCTTGAGGAGCCTTGTGAATTGCCTCAGGCCACTTTAGTGTTTATTAAACCAAACTGAATTTAAGATTAGATGAGTACAGAGAGGGTAGAGGGGAACCCAGACTGGAACAACAGGCTCTTCCACCTCAGATTAATGAACTCCAAAGAAACCCTTCTGGCCGGGTACATTGGCTCACTCCTCTTATCTCAGCACTTTGGGAGGCCAAGACTGGTGGATCTCTTGAGGTCAGGCATTCGAGACCAGCCTGGCCAGCATAGTGAAACCCCTTCTCTACTAAAAATACAAAAAAAAATTAGCCAGATGTGGTGGCACATGCCTGTAGTCCCAGCTACTTGGGAAGCTGAGGCACGAGAATCGCTTGAATTGGGCGGGCAGAGGTTGCAGTGAGGCAAGATCCGCCACAGCACTCTAGCCTGGGTGACAGAGTGAGATTGTCTCTCAAAAAAAAAAAAAAAAAAAAGCCAGGCTCGGTAGCTCATACCTGTAATTCCAGCACTTTGGGAGGCCGAGGTGGGTAGATCACGAGGTCAGGAGTTCAAGACCAGCCTGGCCAAGATAATGAAACCCCGTCTCTACTAAAAATGCAAAAATTAGCTGGGCATGGTGGCTGTCGCCTGTAATCCCAGCTACTCAGGGGGCTGAGGCAGGAGAATCGCTTGAACCTGAGCGGCAGAGGTTGCAGTGAGTGATTGAACCACTGCACTCCAGCCTGGGCAACAGAGATGCCAACTCAAAAAAACAAACAAACAAACAAATAAAAAACAGGCCAGGCGCAGTGGCTCACGCCTGTAATCCCAGCACTTTGGGAGGCTGAGGAGGGCAGATCGCAAGGTCAAGAGATCAAAACCATCCTGGCCAATATGGTGAAACCCCGTCTCTACTAAAAATACAAAAATTAGCCAGGTGTGGTGGTGTGCATCTGTAATCCCAGCTACTCGGGAGGCTGTGGCAGGAGAGTCGCTTGAACCCAGGAGGCGGAGGTTTCAATGAGCGGAGATCACGCCTCTGCACTCCAGCCCAGCAACAGAGTGAGACTCCGTCTCAAAGGAAACCCTTCAATCCCCAGAGGACAAAAATGTTCCTAGGAGTCCTTCATGTTACAAACCATATTTATTAAGTACCTATTTTGTGCCAGGCCCTGAAAATATATTCAGGAGGGAAAAAAGTATATAGGGGTCATAATCTCAAGAAGCTTATATAATGTCTGTTGGTGGTGTGATTATTTAAACAAATAATCTTACATATACAGTTGTATAACTTCAGTGATTAAACTGTAGGCCAGGCGCTGTGGCTCATGCCTATAATCCCAGCACTCTGGGAGGCCAAGGTGGGTGGATCACCTGAGGTCAGGAATTTGAGACCAGCCTGGCCAACATTATGAAACCAACCCCGTCTCTACTAAAACCACAAAATTAGCAAGGACTGGTGGGGCACGCCTGTAATCCCAGCTACTTGGGAGGCTGAGGAAGGAGAATCGCTTGAACCTGGGAGGCAGGGATTGCAGTGAGCCAAAATCTTGCTATTGCACTCCAGTCTAGGCAACAAGAGCAAAACTCTGTCTAAAAAAAAAAAAAGTAAGTTGTAAAGTTGCTGAGGAAGCTTGTTACCCTACCAAACTGAAGTCTGCTCCCCAATGCAGTAAGGCCTGACATCCATATCCAGGCTTTACATGAGGGTATTTATTTACAGGGCACCAAACAAGAAGAATCTGGTAGCTCACACTTAAGACCTGACCTCCCAGTGGCTTACAAGCAAGAGTTTTTTGTTTGTTTGTTTGTTTTGAGACAGAGTCTTGCCCCGTTGCCCAGCCTGGAGTGCAATGGCATGATCTGGGCTCACTGCAACCTCTGCCTCTTAGGTTCAAGCGATTCTCCTGCTTCAGTCTCCTGAGTAGCTGGGATTACAGACATGCACCACCACGTCCAGCTAATTTGTATCTTTGGTAGAGATGGAGTTTCACTATGTCGGCCAGGCTGGTCTCAAACTTCTGACATTGTGATCTGCCCGCCTTGGCCTTCCAAAGGGCTGGGATTACAGGTGTGAGCCACCATGCCCGGCTGTTTTTTTACTTTTTTAAATTTGTATTCAGAGTCTTACTCTTTCACCCAGACTGGAGTGCAATGGCGCTATCTTGGCTCACTGCAACCTCCGCCTCCCAGAATCAAGCAATTCTCTGCCACAGCCTCCCAAGTTGCTAGGATTACAGGCATACACCACCACACCTGGCTAATTTTTGTATTTTAAAGAGAGATGGAGTTTTACCATGTTGGCCAGGCTGGTCTTGAACTCTTGACCAAAGGTGATCCACCCACCTGGGCCTCCCAAAGTTCTGGGATTACAGGTGTGAGCCACTGTGCCCAGCCCAGGCAATTTTTAAAGGCAGGGGTAAATTTCAGAAAAGCAGAAGTTACAGGAAAAATTGTGTATCAGTACATGAGGTTATACATTGGTTTGGCTTAAAAATGTGGAATATCACGCCGGGCGCGGTGGCTCAAGCCTGTAATCCCAGCACTTTGGGAGGCCGAGGCGGGTGGATCACGAGGTCGAGAGATCGAGACCATCCTGGTCAACATAGTGAAACCCGGTCTCTACTAAAAATACAAAAAACTAGCTGGGCGTGGTGGCGCGTGCCTGTAATCCCAGCTACTTAGGAGGCTGAGGCAGGAGAATTGCCTGAGCCCAGGAGGCGGAGGTTGCGGTGAGCCGAGATCGTGCCATTGCACTCCAGCCTGGGTAACAAGAGCGAAACTCCGTCTCAAAAAAAAAAAAAAAAAAAAAAAATGTGGAATATCTTTTTTGGGGGGGTTGGGGAGACAAGGTTTCACTCTTGCAGTGGTGGGATCATAGCTCACTGCAGCCTGGATCTCCCAGATTTAAGCAATCCTGCCACCTCAGCCTCACAAGTAGCTGGGATTACAGGCACACAACCATGCCCAGCTAAATTTTTTTTTTTTTTTTTTGAGACAGAGTTTTGCTCTTGTTACCCAGGCTGGAGTGCAATGGCGTGATCTCGGCTCACCGCAACCTCCGCCTCCTGGGTTCAGGCAATTCTCCTGCCTCAGCCTCCTGAGTAGCTGGGATTACAGGCACGTGCCACCATGCCCAGCTAATTTTTTGTATTTTTAGTAGAGACGGGGTTTCACCATGTTGACCAGGATGGTCTCGATCTCTTGACCTCGTGATCCACCCGCCTCAGCCTCCCAAAGTGCTGGGATTACAGGCTTGAGCCACCACGCCCGGCCCAGCTAAATTTTTGTTTGTTTGTTTAAGATGAGGTTTCACCATGATGGCCAGGCTGGTCTTGAACTCCTGACCTCAGGTGATCCACCCACCTCGGCCTCCCAAAGTGCTAGGATTACAGGCTTGAGCCACTGCACCCGGCCCAAATTTTTAAATTTTTTAATGGAGATGAGCTCTCACTATATCGCCTGGGCTGGTTTGAACTCCTGGGCTCAAGGGATCCTCCTGCCTCAGTCTCTCAAAGTGTAAAGGCATGAGCCACCACACCCAGATCCAGTGTATTCATTTGATGCGGGTCTGGGTTTCTGAAAAACAACTCAGGGACACATGTTAAGATGTTATCTTTAGGGGGTTTTGGGAGAAAAAATATTTTATCTTTAGTTTTTATTTTTCTCTATTTTTTTGAGATGGAATTTCTTTCTTTCTTTCTTTCTTTTTTTTTTTTTTTGTACTACAGACCACTAAGATTGTAGCCTAGAGATGGAGTTTTGCTCTTGTTGCCCAGGCTGGAGTGCAATGGTGGGATCTTGGCTCACGGAAACCTCCGCCTCTCAGGTTCAAGGGACTCTCCTGCCTCAGCCTCCCGAGTAGCTGGGAATAGAGGCGTGCGCCACCACGTCCAGCTAATTTTTGTATTTTTAGAAGAGACAGGGCTTCACCATGTTGCCCAGGATGGTCTCCATCTCTTGACCTTGAGATCCGCCCGCCTGGGCCTTCCAAAGTGTTGGGATTACGACCATGAGCCACAGCAGCTGGCATCTTTAGTTTTTATAAACAACCAAACATCTTAGGACTCAAACTTCTTAGGCTATTGTTTTGAACTACTATTACCTTCTTGCTTATCAAGTTCCTCAAAGCTAGCTAGGTGTGGAGAATTTCCCCTGAAGGAACTCGAAATTTTCCTTTATTTCCATAGTTGGTGGGGAGGGCCAAGCAGGCCCCTGAGTGTACACATGAGCCACCACACCCAGATCCATCTCAAAATCTGTAACAGAGGACTTAACCAAATCTGGGAGGAAGGCCTTGATGAGTGGAAGACCTGAAGAGTGTGTAGGAGTTAGCTGGGTGAAATTGAGAGGTGGGTAGAAGCTTTTCTGGCGGGGGTTTCGTCAAGGGAAAGCGCATGGAGTGAATGAGGCCGGAGCAGAAAGAGGAGGAAATCCAGCAGAGCAAATGATAGGTTTTGCTGAGAGTCCCCAAACAGCTCTTGAAGCATTTAAAGAAAGCAACGCTAATCCATTAGAAACGAACATTGGTGCTGGACACAGTGGCTCACCCCCTGCAATCCCAGCACTTTGGGAGGCCGAGGCGGGTGGATTATGTGAGGTCAGGAGTGCAAGACTAGCCTGACCAACACGGTGAAACCCTGTTTCTACTAAAAAAAAAAAAAAAAAAATTAGCCAGACCTGGTGGCAGGCACCTGTAATCCCAGCTACGCAGGAGGCTGAGGCAGGAGAATCGCTTGAACCCGGCAGGCAGAGGTTGCAGTGAGCCGAGATAGCACCATTTCACTCCAGCCTGGGTGACAGAGGGAGACTCTGTCTCAAAAAGAAAAAAAAAAAAAAAAAAAGAAAAGGAAAGAAAAGAACAGTCTTGTTTAAAGCTGAATACCTTTGTGCTCACTTGAACAGCACATACACTAAAATTGGAACGATACAGGGAAGATTAGCCTGGCTCCTGCACAAAGATGACACGCAAATTCGTGAACGGTTCCATAGTAAAACAAACATACAAAAAAGGTTTACTTCAGCCGGGCGCAGTGGCTCACATCGCAATCTTAGCACTTGGGAAGCCGAGGAGGGCGGATCGCCTGAGCTCAGAAGTTCAAGACCAGCCTGGGCAACACGGCGAAACTACTAAAATTCAAATTAGCCAGGAGTGGCAGCGTGCGCCTGTAGTCCCAGCTATTCCAAAGGCTGAGGCAGAGAATTGCTTGAACCGGGAGGCGGAGGTTGCAGTGAGCCGAGCTCGCGCCGCTGAACTCTAGTCTGGGCCACAGAGGGAGACTCCGTCTCCATAAATAAAATAAATAAATAAATGCCAGCCTGGACCACAGAGCGAGACTCCAAATCCATAAATGAATGAATGAATGAATGCATGCATGCATGCCAGCCTGGGCCACCGAGTGAGACTTCTTCTCAATAAATGAGTGAATGAATGAATGAATGCCGGATGCGGTGGCTCACACCTGTAATCCCAGCACTTTGGGAGGCCGAGGTGGGTAAATCAAAAGGTCAGGAGTTCGAGACCAGCCTGGCCAACATGGTGAAACCCTGTCTCTACTAAAAATGCAAAAAAAAAAAAAAAAAAAAAAAAAAAAATTAGCTGGGTGTGGCGGGCGCCTGTAATCCCAGCTACTCGGGAGCCTGAGGCAAGAGAATAGCTTGAACCAGGGAGTCGGAGGTTGCAGCAAACCGAGATGGCTCCACTGCACTCCAGCCTGGTGACAGAGCGATACTCTGTCTAAAAGAAAAGAAAAGAAAAAAAAAAATGCCGGGCGCGGTGGCTCATGCCTATAATCCCAGTACTCTGGGAGGCCGAGGCGGGATCACGAGGTCAGGAGTTCAAGACATGCCTGGTGGCCACGATGGTGAAACCACGTCCCTACTAAAAATACAAAAATCAGCCAGGCGTGGTGGCGCGCGCCTGTAATCCCCGCTACTCAGGAGGCTGAGGCAGGAGAATCACTTGAACCCAGGAGGCGGAGGTTGCAGTGAGCCGAGATCGCACCACTGCACTCCAGTCTGGGCGACAGAGTAAGGCTCCTTCCCCCACCCCACCCCCCAAAAACGCCAAAAGTAATTTTCCCTAGGTAGGGACGGTGTGTTCCTTTCTAGGTACGCAAGGCCCTAAAATCCCTTCGGGCGGGCGGGTGTGGGGAAACCAGGAGGCTCCGAGACCCCGGCGGTGTCGCGGGCGGGGCGTGGTTGAGAGCAAGCTGGCTCAGCTGAGGAACGGGCGGCGGGACTGCCGGGAGGCGGAACTGAGAGCGCGCGGCGAAGCGGTCCTGCGGACTGTAGCTAGTGAGGCACCCGCCGACCCGGAAGGGGCTGATGAGAACTGGGGCCAAGGCAGCCATCGCGCTTTGCAGTTCGGTCTCCGGGTATACGGCCAACGCCAAGCAGGGGATTGCGTTCTCTCCAGTTGCAGGTAAATGACAGCCACTCCTTCTGGGAGGATCGGCGGGCAGCAGTTGTGGATACCCTAGAAGGCGCACTTTTAGGGCAAAGACCTGCTCAGGGCCCCTGCCTGTGGCATTGTGTGAAGGGGCACCTTGTTTTTCACCCCGGGATTAGGCGGCGCGAGGGAGGACAGGTCTCATCCATGCTCCGCGGGGCAGTCTGATAGCCCTCGGGGCAGAACACTGCTGCTGTCAGACGCTTGGTCATTTCAGGAAAGAAAGAGATGGCTACAGGCAAACCCCTTCTTTCCCCTGGGCCTCAGTTTTCTTACCTGGTAAGGTGAAGGTGGTGGGTCTCATTGACAGACGAAGAGGCTATGACGCGGCCTGGTGTTTTTAGCTCTCCCAGTTAGTGTAGAGGCAAACTGAGCTTCCTTGCTAGTACTGGTTAACGTTTTTTGTAGCCCAAAGCCCTATTTAAGTAGGAAAAAGATAGACTGTTGAGAAAACTGTACTGATTCTTATTTTTTATATTTTTGTTGTTATTGTTGTTTTGAGACGGAGTTTCGCTCTTGTAGCCCAGGCTGGAGTGTAGTGGTGCGATCTCGGCTCACTGCAGTCTCTGCCTCCTGTCTCAGCCTTCTGGGGGATTACAGGCGCATGCCACCACGCCTGGCTAATTTTTGTATTTTTAGTAGAGATGGGATTTCGGCATGTTGGCCAGTCTGGTCTCCAACTCCTGACCTCAGGTGATGCTCCCGAATGGGCCTCCCAAAGGGCTTGGGATTAAAGACGTGAGCCACCTCGCCCAGCCACTGTACTGATTTTTTTTTTTTTTTTTTTTTTAAGACGGAGTTTCGCTCTTGTTACCCAGGCTGGAGTGCAATGGCGTGATCTCGGCTCACCGCAACCTCTGCCTCCTGGGCTCAGGCAATTCTCCTGCCTCAGCCTCCTGAGTAGCTGGGATTACAGGCACGCGCCACCACGCCCAGCTAGTTTTTTGTATTTTTAGTAGAGACGGGGTTTCACCATGTTGACCAGGATGGTCTCGATCTTTTGACCTCGTGATCCACCCGCCTCGGCCTCCCAAAGTGCTGGGATTACAGGCTTGAGCCACCGTGCCCGGCCACTGTACTGATTTTTAAGATGTTGAAGCTTTTCCAAGAAGATAAAAATTTGTTTTAAAACAGCTAAAACTTGTTAGCTGAAAGAACCAGATTCATCAGGAATTTAAGGTGTTTGGTACATTGTACAATATGAAGTGAAGAAGTCCTTTTAACTTGAAAAACCTAGTATTGTTTAGGTTTAGTGTTTGTGTGTTCTTATATGAGCCTCTGTATTACCAAGTATCTTTGATGAAGTCGGTAAAGTATCAGTGAATAGTAAGTCACATTGAAACAATGAAAAAAGGAAAGAAAAGTAACAGTTATTGACTATCTACTATGTGTAAGACACTAGCTGTCATTTTACAGATGACAAATAATTAGTGATGCCAGTATAGCAAAGCAACAGAATATCTACTATTGTTACCTTTCAGTAGACTGTGACTGTCACCAACATGTTTTGAACTTAAAAAATTTTAAGATTGTTCATTGGCATTTTCTGAGTTTGTAGAAAAGGAAGGTGTCTTCATTTTAGAAATGTCAGAGATGCACTGTCAGTAAGTATAAAGATTAGCAGTTTAAATGAGGTACACTTTAACCTTCCTTTGCCTTACATTATTGTGCTGGAATAGAAATTCAAATACTAATTAAGACAAAAGATGAGTCTAACAGAAATGAAAATCAGCCTGGGCAATATAGCAAGACTCAGTCTCTACATTTAGAAAAAAAAAGCTAGTGGAGTGCAGGGCCTTGGCCGGTAGGCTGATAGTCCCAACTACTTGCCACTAAGGTGGGAGGATTGCTTGAGGTCAGGTCAAGACTACAGTGACCTGTGATCATGCCACAGTACTCCAGCCTGGGTGACAGAAAAACACTGTCACTAAAAAGAAAGTAAAAAAGAAAGAAAGAGAAAAAGAAATGAAAATCATTTCTACATCATTTGAAGCTTACAAGTTTGAATGCTAAAATGCCATAGTATTTCTTTTCTTTTTTCTTTTCTTTTTTTTTTTTTTTTTTTGAGACGGAGTCTCTCTTCACTCTTATTGCCCAGACTGTAGTGCAGTGGCATGATCTTGGCTCACTGCAACCTCTGCCTCGGGTTCAAGCGATTCTACTGCCTCAGCCTCCCAAGCAGCTAGAATTACAGGTGCGCACCACCACACCTGGCTAATTTTTGTATTTTGAGTAGAGACAGGATTTCACCATGTTGGCCAGTCTGGTCTCAAACTCCTGATCTCAAGTGATCTGCCCATCTCAGCCTCCCAAAGTGCTGGGATTACAGGTGTGAGCCACCATGCTCTGCTACAGTAGTATTTCTATGCTCACTTTTTTTCTTTTTGAGACAGAGTTTTGCTCTCGTTGCCCAGGCTGGAGTGCAGTGGCGAGATCTCAGCTCACCACAACCTCCGCCTCCCAGGTTCAAGTGCTTCTCCTGTCTTAGCCTTCCAAGTAGCTGGGATTACATGCATATACCACCATGCCTGGCTAATTTCATATTTTTGGTAAAGATGGGGTTTCTCCATGTTGGTCAGGCTGGTCTCGAACTCCTGACCTCAGGTGATCCGCCCACCTTGGCCTCCCAAAGTGCTAGGATTACAGGCATGAGCCATCATGCCTGGCTTATCCTTCTTCTTCTTCTTCTTCTTTTTTTTTTTTTTTTTTTTTTTTTTGAGACAGAGTTTCGCTCTTGTTGCCCAGGCTGGAGTGCAATGGCGTGATCTCGGCTCACGGCAACCTCTGCCTCCTGGGTTCAGGCAATTCTCCTGCCTCAGCCTCCTGAGTAGCTGGGATTACAGGCACGCGCCACCATGCCCAGCTAATTTTTTGTATTTTTAGTAGAGACAGGGTTTCACCATGTTGATCAGGATGGTCTTGATCTCTTGACCTCGTGATCCACCCGCCTCGGCCTCCCAAAGTGCTGGGATTACAGGCTTGAGCCACCACGCCCGGCCTTTTTTTTTTTTTTTTAAAAAAAAGACAGGGCTCTCACTTTGTTGCCCAGGCTGGTGGAATGCGGTGGTGTTATTACAGCTCACTGCCTTGAATTCTTGGGCTCAAGCAATCCTTTAGCCTCAGCCTCCTGAGTAGCTGGGACTGCAGTTTCGTGCTACCATACTCACGTAATTTTTAAAATTTTTTGTAGCCAGTCATGGTGGCTTTGTAATCCCAGCACTTTGGGAGGCTGAGGCGGGTGGATCATGAAGTCAGGAGTTCAAGACCAACCTGGCCAAGATGGTGAAACCCTGTTTCTACTAAAAATACAAAAAAAAATTAGCCTGGCGTGGTGGTAGGGCCTGTAATCCCAGCTATTTGGGAGGCTGAGGCAGAGAATTGCTTGAACCAGGGAGGTGGAGGTTGCAGTGAGCCAAGATTACACCACTGTGATCCATTCTGGGCAACAGCTCAAGACTCTGTCTCAAAAAAAAAAAAAATTTTTTTTTTTTGTAGAGATGTGGTCTTGCTATGTTGCTCAGGCTGCTCTTGAACTCCTGGTCTCGAGTGATCCTCCTGCCTTGGCCTCCCAAAGTACTAGCATTACAGACATGAGCCACTGTGCTCAGCTTGGATATTTGTATTCTAGGACAGTTACTACATCAATTTCACCACAGCATTACCATGCTTTGCATCTCAAAGTTATTAATGCATTGATTCTACAATTATACTCTGATGTCATATTTGCCTCTTTAGACTATCATGTCTCTCATTTTCTCCCAACAGTATTTTTTGGGTATCTGTATTTTGTCATTTTATGTGGTTTTTTTTTAAGGACCACTGAGAACTAATGTGTATTTTTTTTTTTTTTTTTTTTTAAAAGATGGGGTTTCACCATGTTGGCCAGGCTGGTCTTGAACTCCTGACCTCAGGTGATCTGCCCGCCTCGGCCTCCCAAAGTGCTGGGATTACAGGCGTGAGCCACTGCACCCGGCTGTATTTTTAGTTTTTACTTTATTATTATTTTTTTGAGATAGGGTCTCACTGTCACCAAGTGCATGCTACCACGTCTGGCTAATTTTTATATTTTTTGTAGAAATGGGGCTTTTCCATGTTGCCGAGGCTAGTCAAAAATTTTTTTATGGGCCGGTCGTGGTGGCTCACACCTGTAATCCCAGCACTTTGGGAGGCCGAGACGGGCGGATCACGAGGTCAAGAGATTGAGACCATCCTGGTCAACATGGTGAAACCCCATCTCTACTAAAAATACAAAAGTTAGCTGGGCGTGGTGGCGCACGCCTGTAGTCCCAGCTACTCGGGAGGCTGAGGCAGGAGAATTGCTTGAACCCAGGAGGCGGAGGTTGCGGTGAGCCGAGATCGTGCCATTGCACTCAAGCCTGGGTAACAAGAGCGAAACTCCATCTCAAAAAAAAAAAAAAAAAAAAAATTATTATTTTTTGAGATGGAGTTTTGCTCTCTTTGCTGCCCAGGCTGGAGTGCAGTGGCCTGATCTCGGTTCACCTCAACCACTGCCGCCTTGGTTCAAGCAGTTCTCCTGTCTCAGCTATGAGCTACCGCGACCGGCCTTAATATGTATTTTTAAAAAGTAAATGAGGCCAGGCGTGGTGGCTCATGCCTGTCATCCCAGCACTTTGGGAGGTTGAGGTGGGTGGATCTTAAGGTCAGGTGTTCAATACCAGCCTGGCCAATATGGTGAAACCCCGTATCTACTAACAATACAAAATTTAGCCAGGCATGGTGGTAGGCACCTGTAGTCCCAGCTACTTAGGAGGCTGAGGCAGCAGAATCGCTTGAACCCAGGATGTGGAGGTTGCAATGAGCCAAGATCACGCCACTGCACTCCAGTCTGGGCAACAAAGAGAGCGAAACTCTATCAAAAAAAAAAAAAAAAAAAAAAGGTAAATGAGCTGGACATGGTAGCCTGTGCCTGTAATCCCAGTTACTCAAGAGGCTGAGATGGGAGGATTGCTTGA